GTGCTAATGAAATTTTTAAAATTAAGAATAAAAATATGTACATGTAATTATTTGTTGAATAATCTTAAAGTATTTTCTTTTGATTATATCTGTAATTTTACCTCTTCACATACAGTTTGTTTTTAATGTTATAGTTTGTTGTCTGTCCTTTACTATTTATTCATCTCCACACACCATGAGAGAAAGACTTCTGATATAGTACATTACCTCTACTCACATAAATAGCCATTCTCATTCAGTGCTGCCCTCTATTGCAATTGTTTTATTTTAATTTATTTGTTTTGTGAATGCCACAAGCCTCGAAACTTCCACACTTCTGGAATTGATTAATTCCAATGTAGGTCACATGCAAATTATCATGCAACAACCCTCCAACAATAAGAGCTCAACTCACTCTCTTAACGCATGTGACTCCCTCTATTCAATTCTACCAAACTATCACTTCTCATTTAGCAGTACTTCTGTTATGATATTTAGTTTGTGCTCTCCTCAAGTGTTTTATTTTAATTTTTTTCCATATCTTTGTATTAATTTCTCTCTAGAAGTTTACTCTTTATTATACAATAGTGATATTTGTAACTTGTTGAGTTATTCTGAAGTGAAATTATTATATATTTGAGTGAGATAGTTTACATTACACAGACATCTTTTCAATACTAGATATAGGGTTCCTGGATCATTCATTCAATTTCTCACATTGTTATTATGTGCCTGTTCATATGTCAGGGGCTACGAGATTCCCTCTGGTCCCATGAACTTGAGGTGGAGATGGTATGATCCTCTTTCCTACCCCCACCAGATGGCTGGGTTTTGGATTGTAGTTGGCTTGCTGCTGGTATTATCTTCTTACCTACCCCACTTGGATGTCAGTTTTCAGTGACCTGGGTTTTGAATTGTAGTCGACTTACTGGTGGTATGATCCTTTTTTCTACTCCTACATGGATGTTGGTAACCTGTGGCCAGGTTTTGGATTGTAGTTGACTTACCAAAGTATGATACTCATTCTACTCCTGTGTGGATTTGGTTCCCAGCAGCATTGGTTTTGGATATAGTTGACTTGCCTTATCTGGTCCATTGTGCCCTATCCACTCTACATTTAGGAGCACATTCTTTTATCTTACACATTTTTATGGGATTGAGTTTAATAAATAATGTATGGTTCATATCACTATCCTTCCATAGTTCTCTCCCATTTGGATGTGCTCCTCTATCTTTCTGCTCATATTGGAAACATTTTTGTGCAATAGGCAAAGAGTATACCTGGTTCAGAAGTGGTGTGGTCTCCCACATATGATCTTTGACTCCGAAGATCTCCTTTTGGGGAGTGTCCTTCAGATGCTTTCGAAGGATGCTTTTTTCTTTCTCTCGTACCAGCCTCTCCAATGTGGGATTTATGCTATTTAAGTGAGAAGTGGTAATGTACTGTATCGGAAGTTATAATTTTTCTATACTGAAAATGTATTTCTGATAGGTACTTACCTCTTCTCACTGAAAACTGCAGCTTCCATTTTCTGCCAACACTAGAAGTGTTAGTTCAGTAGAATTGAATAGGGAGTCACATGCATTAAGGGAGTGTGATGTTTCTTTATTGATGGAGGGTTGTTACATAATAATTTGCATGTGAGATGCAATGGAATTAGTCAATTCCAGATGGGTAGGAGTTTCAAGGCTTGTGGAGTGCACAAAAAAAAAATTGCATATAAAGGGCAACGATAAACAAGAATAGCTATTTATCTGAGAGGAGGTAAGTACCTATTGGAAATACATTTTAAGTATAGGAAAATTATAACTCCAGCATGTTATGGTACTATCGGCAAAGACACACAAGCCTATGGCTAAATGCTTTTGCACTTGCATAATAAGTTAACCCTTGTTAAATGAAGTGAAGTTTAGGTTATATTAAAAAATTATTAAACCTTTCAAATACACATTTTAATACATAAATAATGTGTAATTCAATCAAATATGAAAGTAATACCCGAGTACAATTTATTTGTCTAATTAATATCTATCTATGTAAGAAAGAAGAAAGAGTAAATGCTATGTGGCATGAAACAGCTTCACCATTGTTGGAAGTTAGTCCTTCTTTGTAATGAATACTCCTGCCAATTTTAAAATGGTCATTGGGAGCATGTATTTTAAAATATGAACTTTCTATTGGTTATAAATCTGTATGATAAATACATGTAGTTTAGAAATCCAAGTTATCAAAGGTGGTTGTGGCTTCTGTCATGGGGTGATGAAATGTAGTTCTTGTGTTCATTTAATTGAACTAAAGGACTTTTAAGCAAGCATATGTAAATAATGTAATAAACATAGATTGTTTTTAGACATACATATGCAGTCTAGGTCTGGTATTATTCATGTTATAGAAACTAAATGTCAAGAATTGTGAATGCTCATATGTCACATGACAACAAAACAGAAGTTAAAGTATTTTTGTTAATCACTTTAAAAATAAAGGACTTAGAGCTTAGATAATATAAATATTTGAATTATAAACTACATTATAATGCTAATTTCGTTGATAGTCACTGAAAGTAAAGTTGTTTAATTAAATTTTGAATGTAACTCTGTAAAACCTTGTAGCATGCTCAGAAAGGATCCCCAAGTCGAAAGGATAAATATTTTGATTTCGGTTTTAATATTTCTTTATCATTCCAGTTTGTTTTGTGACTTTGAAGGCTAGGATCATTTAAACCATATTCTGCAGATTGCATATATATTTCTAAAAGTTTGATAATCTAAAACTAAATAATTCTTACCAACCATTAAGTGTGTAGCATTTTGAGCAGTTAATGAGGAAAATCCTCAAAGTTTTATAAAAAAAAAAAGAAAAAAAAGTGGTATGACCTATAGGATTTTTGTACTAGTTATTTGATTTTAGGAATAATCCTGGAGGCATAGTAACAAAAGCAATAACATTTATAAATTATATTGCCAATAATGCATGTTAATTTTGTCCTATTTAACATAAATATTCCTTATACAAATGATAAATTGTCAAGTATAGACATTATAAATATAGCTGTGAGAAAAAACAAATTTTTTTAAATTTCTTAGTGCAGCAGTAAGAAAATATGCTGTTTTAGCACTTCAACATTGTCTACTTCAAGCTTCCAATCACCATTCCATCCAGTCAGCCCTTTTACGTCTAGAGCAAGTACTGAGTGATAGTGATATTAGTGTGGTTGCAGCAGCTGTGACAACACTTGAAACAGTAGTAAAGGTATTGATACATAAAAAAATATATCTTGAATTGTGTACATAAAAATATTTATTTTGCTGAGCATCTATTATTTCTTTCATGTTGTTCTTTTATCCCATGTTGCCAAACTTGTTAGAACAAGCTTGCCTCCAAAATTCATTTTATTTAGAAATCAGGAAACATGGCAGTTGTGTTTTAATAGTACAAGAGTTTGGGAGTTTTGGAAATCTGGTGCTGATATTTTTTATACAAACCTTACTTATGTATACAGGTAAAGAAATAAACTTTTGAAAAAAGAAACTAAATATAGGGATGGCTAATATCAATCTTTCAAAAACAATGAAAACAAGATGGTAGGGATGGCATCATCCCTACATCATAGCACAAGCACACAGTGTAGTAGAATATTAACAGGTGTAAGTAGGATAAACTCAGCTGTGATTGAATGGTTATATATATTGCTATATGTTAATTCTTGCCTGTGCTATTATGTAGGGATGATACAAATGTATCCCTACTATCTTGTTTGTATTGTTTTTGAAGGATTGATGTTAGCCATACCTACATTTACTTCCTTTTTGGAAAAGTTTTTTTTAGTGCAGTGTTTCAATAAAACAAAGAAAGGTTGTATTTATAACCAAGAACGAGATTCTAACTGTAATATTTGTTTATCTATTATTGGCTGGTAATTCCTATTTCACCCTGTACTTAAGCTTTTTAAAGTAACGTCAAATTTCTGTAAGAAAGTTAACTCCAAGGGGTAATGATGATATTGTTTGCACTAGAATTATGATTCTTTAAAATTACTACCAGTTATTAATATTTATAAAAGTGGATAGTCCGTTTGAAACTATGTCACCTCAGTGAAAGTGGTTAATACCATTGGTTTGGCTTTTGAGTTATCATGTATTTAAAAAGGAAGCACAAGAAAAAACAAGAAATTCAAACTTTTTGCTATGATATTTACAGACATTCCCATAACTTATGACTCAGTCATTACATAGATATTTTTATAAAAGAAAACACTATATAGTATTGTAAAGTTCTGATGACCTATTGAGGAAATATTTAAAATCCCATTTCAATGAACAATCTTAGTTATTCATACATACGTAGTGCTACTACCTGCCTGGTAAGTAGTCTTTGCAGTTGTAGACCAGAGGTCACCTATGCACACCAGTTTGAACCTGATTTCATTTTTAGAAGTGTGAAAAACCATGTTTCAAGTATGTTTCAGCTTTTGAAAATTGTACATCTGCTTCTTTACTGCAGTGAATAAACATTGAAAATTTGTGAAGACAAGAATTGTCTGTGAAGATGAATTATTAGCCTTGTGACTTCAAAAGGTTTAACCAGTAAAATTCAAAGGCCATATTGAGAATCCATCATCGTTTATAATGGTGCTTGTTATTGATCAGTTGGTGCATCATATTAGTCTGTCCTTCAGTGAAATGGCATATTGTAAAGATGGAACATATTTCACAATAAGAAAATAACTTTAGCTTGTTAACAAAGAATGCAAAAATAGGGTAGGATCATTAGTCTTGCTTTCTATCTGCAAGAAATGGTCTGAAGTGTATAATTAATGTTTCCGATACAAACGCTTTTCCTGATCTTCATCTTCTCTCTAATGCATTAAAAAAATATTTTCACTTGATGCACTAGTCTTTATATTCCCTCAGTTCAAGCTGCTCATTCAGCATGCATAGTGCATGCGATGACCCTCCGCAAGTAGGAGTATGACGTGCATTCCTGGAGCAGCTGGCTCCCTCTTTATTTCGTGTACTTCACTTTCTCTATTGGTACTATATGAGTCGGACATGTTTCTTGCTTAATTTCAGTTTTCAATACTGACTACACGTGATTTGCTTTTTTTTAATTTGCGTGTTTTCTTTCTATCTTGCATTATGTCATGATACAGATTTTGATTCTCTGTTTCACACATATTTCCTATTTCTTGTGATTCTCAACTCAGTTACTGCTGTTTCTGGGATCACAATTATTTTCTTATCCGGGCCATGGGATCAAAGTTGTCTGCCAAGGGGTATGTGCCTTAGTTTGTCAAGTGTTCACTTCCTCCATGTGGCCTGGACCTTCTTCTCCATGATGGTTGAAGCATATTCCAGATTTTCTGTATGTTCAAGATGTGGGTGATTTTGCTAGTTTTATTTTTCTTGATGCAGTTGCCATGCCACCAAGTCTTTCAATTTGGTGGAGGTTTGTTCTTTTCCTCCTTTTCTCCTATTACTTCCACCTTCCCCAGTGGCTCATAGGTAAGTTTTTTTTTTACTTTTATGCCACAAACAGTGTTGATATACCTATGGCAGGCATGTCATGGGTGCTCATTGTATGGCTTTGTCCTTATTTTCACACGTGAGCATTCAGTAGTTCACATCATCATTGTTCTGCTTTGGTTAGCTGGATATTTCAATGTACTTTGTTGTCTACATCATTTTTGATGGATTATTAGTTAGATATTGTTGGTACTCTGTTTTCTTGATATATTTATGCAGTTTGATATTAATAACTACTTTGTTCAGAGATATGTTTAGCTGGTTAATTAGTTATATGTTACTAGTACTTTATAGTTATCTCTGTAATATTAATTTAATCACAATAATTATAAATATTATTCATTATCAATAAGTACATAGTCGTTTAATTAAAATAGTAATTTATGGCTATTTTTGAATCATTCTTTTTTTTTATACCAGCCACCAATTTTCTCCACATAATCTAAATTTCGGGGTTCATCCCCACAGTATCTATGTCATAGTTTGTTCTTTCTTGTTAGCAGTTTGTTAATACTTGCATTATTCTGTTGTTTTACTTCTTTTTAGTCCCATATCAAGGTGGCCATCTTGCTTATTTCCACTTTGTCTTTTAGTTGTATCTTGATAATTCTCACCCCTTTTCCTCATTTTTCCTGTGCCCGTCTTGGCTGTCAGCAGCAATATGGGTCTCTCCATGGTGGGGTCCAATCTTGTGGAGACTGGGTTTCCCTGTTTTTTTAACTTTTGGAAGACCTTCACTTCCATTCCATCGCTTCTCTGGGTTTTTCATTATGGGATTCTGTTCACTACCAGTGGCCATCTCCTTGATTATTGTTTACTATTCCTTTACTTCCTTCAAGAGATCCTGTCTCCAGCAATTGGTTGTCCACTGTCAGGTAACATCTTCTCCTACTGGGAGCTATAGTGCCAATTTTTCCAGTTCTGCCAGGATTTTTCCTCTCAGCCTTTAGTTGTCCCCTTCTTGGCTGATGTATGGAGGCCTATCATTGACCTCTCCTGTCTCCTTCAGCCTCTGGTTCCACTTCATTCCACCAGGGTGTTGTGGGTGTCCTTGTTCAACGTAGTTGTTGCATCCCTTCCTGTATTTTTTCAGTTGCCCACGGGTGGAGGATATTTTTTCGATTACAGACTCTACCGTTTGAGTTTCCCTCAGATTTTTTTCTGAGTAGTCACAAACTTTGCTGGACATCTGCTAGTGTTAATCATCCAGCCTCATCTTTCTCAGGACGACTGGTTTCCAGCTTCTTCCTGTCTTCAGTCTACATCAGTTTGCTTGTGGAGGGGGTAAAATGTGTGGTTTGGTTCTTCAATACGAGGGATTTTCTCTTTCCCTGTTTTTGGTTCTCTTGGGGTATTTTCTTCACTTCCCATCATCATTTGGACTCTACTCGGTTTTTGGGATATGGAGCATTTGGACTTCAAAGCCCTTTCCTCTCTTTCCCCCCTCTCTATTTTGGGGGTTTGGGCTTCCTCAGTTGCTCTCTTACCTGTCCGTGGCACTTGTACATTACCTTCAATGGGTATTCCTTGATTGATAGTACCTCTGCCTGGATACCATGGTTAATCTGGTTCTATTTCATTCTCTCCATTGGTTCGATGTTGTCTGGTGGTGGGACAATGTCCATCGGGTCTTCTGTCATTCACCAATGCTTCTCTTCTAGGTTGGAGTACATATCTCAATACCCTGTATATTTCCCATTATTGGACTTAGACATAGTATATTCATGCTCTGTTTTTCAGGTTTTGTACTTTTCATTGTTCATGGAGCCCTATCTCTTATTTTCCATCTTTTGTGGTCCTATACTTCTGCAAGCAGGTGGGTATCTGGCTCTGGTTCTTTTGTTTTACTGCTCTGGGGCTCCAACTTCTGGGCCTTTGTACACAAGATACTGTTCTTGGCTTGCCATCTTCCTAGTTATTTGATGAGTTGTGGATCAGTTCTACTTTCCAAATATGGTCATTCCCTTGGAGTGGTCCCTTCATCCTCCAGTTGTTCAGTGGTTATGCTTTTGCCTGGGTGTTCTGCACATATATGCAGTTGCCACTTGTCTGGGTGGTATCCTGCTGTCTTTTTAATTTCTGGTCCCTTGAACTCTAGCTTTGGGTTGGTCTTTTTGAATCCACCGTTATATTCACCGTTTGGCTGTTTCATCTTTTGTGTGATTTTGACTACTATTAGTTGCTATTCTTCATTCCACACACTGAAGGGTGAGTACAATTACTTTTTCAGATCCACTTTTACTTTATAAGATCCTGCCAAGTGGTTGGTGTTTCCTCCCAGATATGATTATTTCCCAAAATGTGCATTGGGCCAGGGGTAATGGAAAGTGCTCAATCCATCCATCCTGGCTCTACCAGTGCCCACTGTTGAAGTGAGGTGATCTGCAAGACCACTAGAAGTATCCTCTTGGTAGACTGTTCCATTCTATGGACTATCTATCATGTTAAAGCCAGCACAGAAAAAGTGACTGCCCACTTCTTGGCTTTTAAACATAGGGTTTTATGGTCAACTATTGTGCTGTTTTCAGTAAGAGTTCTTTCTGATAGATGTCTGATGGGGATCCAGGCACTTCTCTGGATCTACCCAACACAAATTCCTCCCTCTTTAATTGTAGCATGGGAGACGCTTGTTAATTACCAGTTCCCAGCCACTGGGATGGTGGACCTTGGAGAGTTCCTCACTGATTGGGCTCAGCACAATATGGTGAGAAGTAGGGCAGTGGTGGTACTGTCTTTGTAGTACAGGTCACTCCTCAAACAGTTAGTATACCCTTCTCCTGCAGCTTGAGTCTGTCCAATTGAATTGAGTGTATCCTGTATGGTCTGATCTAATCTAACCACACAACACTTATTGGCTCATCAACTGCTTTTGTGCAAAGGCTTCATTGGTCATGTTCTCATTCTCCCCATCCCTGCAACACTTTGGTCTCATTTGCATCTCCCCTGGTCGAGACAAGGTACAGTTTCACATGAAACTATGTTCCCTATGACGCCTCTGCCATCAGGTGTCACACTCCATAGGCTTTCCCTTTGGGTGCTTTCTGAAGGAAGTTCATCCAGGTTTAAATTTTGCACTGGTTCCTCTGCCAATTCAACATGGGATTCTAGCTATTATGTGTCGGGAGTTGGAAGTATTGTGTCAGAATGTAATATTTTCCTAACCTGAAAATGCTTTTCCATTAAATACTTAACTCTGCATATCTTCCCACCTGACCTCCCCACTTAGCTGCACTTTCTTCTTGTTTTGTCTAAGAATGAAGTTATTTTGAGTACAAGTGCTTAAGGGGAGTCACTGTGCATGGAGTTTATGTTGCCCTCCCATTCATGGAGGGCTATTGTCACATGATGTCATCATACATTAGTGAAGTTCATGTTAAACTCTTGAAATTTAGGAGGGAGTTATCACAAGGCTTGTGACATGCGAATCTCATAAGCAGACATGTGAGGAAAAAAGCGATTCTGGGTATGAAGGCGAGTACCTATTAAAAATACATTTTAATATTAAGAAAATTTAAACTTTTATTGCTTTATAGTGATTTAGTGGTAAGTTTGAGGGCTTATAAAACTAAAAATTGAGTTTTGAACTTGAGGTAGGCATTAAACACATAGCCCATTTTCTGTAGCTTTGTGCATAACTACAAACAAAACCATTTTTATTACTAATTTTTCTAAGTGTTATTATTATTACGAGATTTCTCATATCTTGTTATTGGATATACATTTTGGCTAGTTCTTTGTTTAACTTTATTTTATTTTCAGCTGAATGCTCCACGTGTGTGTTGTAAGGAGAGAGAGAGATTAAAGTCAGATTACATACTTCATGATATGTTTAGTATACTATTTTTCTTTTTATTAAATTCAACTTAGTTGTAATTTTATTAGTCTTAATTTTTTACTATTTATTGTACAGTTCTATTATTCTTTTGACTTTTATTATTTTTTATTATTATCTATTTTCATTAACATTAATTATTAGCTGTACTATCTGTACCATCCTGCAATAACTATAGTTAAAAAGTAACATTTATTGTAGTAATTTATCTTAGATGTCATGCTGCCCTAAAGTTAGACTGTCAAGCTTCTATTTGTCACGAGACGATGTTCAGAAGAATTATAGTAAATTTTGCATGCACTGGTGTCAAATTCTTCAAAGAATGCTAGGTCTACAATAGTGCAAGAAGCAAACCAGTAATGTTTGGGTTTTTTAAGTAAGGTATATTCTATTTTTCATTAACTTTATTGGTAAGAATGTTTAATATATATATATATATATATATTTATTATAGAGGTTTATTTTTGCATTGTTAGCTTAGTATATGGGTTTAGGACTGACGTAAATTTCCTAAGCGGGCCAAACCTCGTGATATTATTAGGATTATGGCTTAAAGTATCATTAACAGTGTGAACTCTTAAATTATGAAAAAATGCATTCTAATCCTTATAAGTGAGGTTGTAAGATTTAGATTAGTTATATTCATTACAGAGTTGATGTTTTAGCTCTGATCTATCCAGGTAGTTTGTTTTGATCAGAAGCTAATATCAGGGAGTGTGTTAGCACTCTCTGTTGGGATGACACAGATGCTTGTATTAAAGCAACACAAAATTCATCTAGATTATCTCTACAAGTCATCAGAAACTAGATATGAAGAGCTACCTGGTATAGTAACACCATTTCCGGTGCACACACTGCTTTTTAGCTATCCAGAGTGTCTCAAAGTTGAAAATCGAGATTTCTTATTTTCATTCATCATCATTTTTCTTCAACAGACCTAATGCCTACCTAGCTCTAGCAGTAACTATAATTTTATCATCACCTGATAGAGCAAAACAGTCTTCATGAACTTTGACTACCTATTATTATTCCATACAAAATTAAAAAAGAAGAAAATCATAATTCCTTTGAGGTTAGCTTTCCAACAAAAATATGGTGTTCCTTAAAAAGCTTAATCTGAAACAAGAATTACCAGCCAATAATAGATGAACATTAGATGACTGTAACATGTAGAATACTCAATGCTTTGTGCACTATACAATCAGTGTCTTTAGGAAGCCAACCCCTATATTATGTAAGAAGCAAAGGATTAAGAAAAAAAATCAATACATATACAGGTCATCAGAAGCTAGATATGGAGAGCTACTTGACATGGTCAATCTATCTCCGGTGTATATACTGCTTTTCAGTTATCCAGAGCATCCTGAAGTCAAAAATAGACGAATAGTCAAAACCAAGAATTCTCATCTTCTTTCTTCAAAAGGCCTAGTGCTTATCTAGTTCTAGCAGCAACTGTAATTTTATCATCATTTGATAGAGCAAAACAGTGTTCACAATCTTTGACTACCTATTTTAGTATTATTCTATGCAAAATTTTATAAAGCTTTAGAATAAACTCTATAATCTAGTAACCCATGTATGCCATCTTATAGAAAAAGTAAATAAGTATTAGGAAAATTATTATCGCTAAATAAAAAAGTTATGTAGGGCTAACTACTGAACTTGAAAAAAAAGGAACCAAAAAAGATAGGGGTGGAAATGAACATATCACTTGATCCGGCTAATGCTCACATTTCAGACTAAGCTGTCCCAACTTTACATGGAAAATAAAATTCCTACATTCCTCTAATATTGCCACATCATTTTGGTGTAGATATATTTTTGAATTTTTTGTATTTTTTAACCATATTTGCATCCTTCTTTGACCTGGAATCCTAAATGTTTTGCTAGTTTCTATATTATATGCAAAGATACATTGCTTTCAACCATTAGTAACTTAAGCTATAGTATTTAGGAAAATATACATTCTCTCTTTTTGTTTTGTTTTACTTCATCTACTAGCTGTTAGAGATTTTCTTCACAGTCAGTGAACAGTGCCTCACATCATCATAACATTGACTGGTTAAAAATTTCCTCCACTAGAAATACCCTGTTTGTGGTCAGCAATGGCCTTTTCTTTGGAGACATTCTGTATGAAGGATAGAAAGGAGGGAATGGAAAGAAAGTGTATCTGTCTACAAGAATTACTTGTTTACAAATTAATGTAATAGCTATGTTATACGTTTTTTTAAAACCCATTTAAAATATATTTTTTGCTACAATGTTGTTTCTACGAGCTAAAAGATTATTAGAAAATTGGACAACAAATCTCAGTTATTTTGGCCTATTGCTGCTAAAGTTTGTTTTATTATATTCTTATATTTGCTTTTGGGGACTCTTCATCTTTTGTTAATGTACAGATGCTATTAATTTATTTCATTGGTTATACAGTATTATTTCTGTCTTAAAACTTATGTGTAAAACGTTTTATTTTTTACAACTATGAAATTACTTGTGTAGTTCATATGAAGAAACAGTGAAGTACTTCAGAATGAACTTGTAATTAGATGTTTCAGAATATCCAGGCATGATCATAGAAGTATTATAGACTGTGCAAAATGGCTTTAGAGGTAAAATTTCTAGAAACTGTAAAATACATTTTTAAACTTTTAGATAAAAAAAACCTGCTGCAACAAGAAACTGTTATTGATCTAGTCAACTTCTTCCTACCTTTCACATCTTTGATGAAATAGGTTTATTTCTTGATCTACTCTGTACGGTTGCCATGTCTATTGTTATTGATCTAGTCAACTTCTTCCTACCTTTTTACATCTTTGACGAAATAGGTTTATTTCTTGATCTACTCTGTACGGTAGCCAGGTCTTAAATAATAAAACCAATAATATATTTAAGTATATTTTATTAGATAAATATTCAATAAAGAAAAAAACCTTGACTGCTAACTGGTTTCTCATCTGCTTTTTGGATCTTGACTGATAGATGGGTTATCCCCAATGCTTTTTGGGTGCCATTACTACAGGCAATCTGCATTATGACTTTTGTATTATGACCGGAAAGTGTGATGATTTTTTAAAAATAGAGCTTTATGTATATATAGTTCTAAACTTTCCAAAATTTGTACAAATATAAGTATTCACAGAAATTACCAGATAAAATAAATAAAATCCACACTGGTATGACAAACTTTGATAGTGCAATTTAAAATCAAATCTTGAAATTTTGTTAAGATGTTAACTTGACATTTATACATTAAGGTCAATACAATAATCACTAAGAATCCCAAACATTTTCTTTAAACAATTCTTTCTTTGTAAATTTGTAAGAGAAAAAAAAACTTTATGTAACAAGATTTCTCAATGTTTTTCTTCCAAACAGACTAAGAATGTGACTCTTTGTCAGCACCTCATCCCAAGTCTCATCCAAATACAACAACAGATCATCCAGGGTAGATTGTCAGCAAAGTTTGAGTTTCATTCAGTGCCATTTCCATGGCTTCAGATAAAACTGTTGAGACTTCTGGGATTGCTTTGTGCTGGTGACAAAATGTTGGTTCATATATTTTCTTATACATATTTAATTATTACCATGTTTTATTTATTATTATTGCTTTTATGGATGTTTAAAGGATATGCAACTTTGCTTAGAAAGTGATCTTTATATATTCAGCTTGATATATAGGCCATGAAACTTTTAAATAGTACATACTACTTGCATGCTCATAATAACTATGTAGGCTTACTGTGTAAAGGATTTTGTTGTTGAAAATCCTACTTTTAGAAAAACATTTTCACATCAGCATCTTTTCATTTTGTGGAAATTTTCTAGTAATATAAAATCAGGGCATTTTCGTCATAGGAAAAACTAATATGAAAACTTAAATTTTCCATTTCAGGAAATCAAACTTGATGCATTAGTAAAACATTTTTACAGTAAATATTAATACTAGTGTTAAAAAATAGATTATAGGAAGATTGGCTTGTGTCATTTCAACAAAAATGTTTTCAATCTATGTCAATTCCTAGATAGGTGCATGATGTTTTCATATACTATTGGTCTGAGTAACTTAAAGTGTCACAAAATACTTTTTTATAACTATGGTTCTTCTCATGCTTGAGGTATATATAGCAAAGAAGAAGGTGGGGTAATAATTTCATTGTCACAACTCATCATGCAAATAATTGTTTAGATTAAAATTTAAAAAGTTATTATTCTCAGTATATCCTTAAGGGAGCAACATAAAGGTATTTTAATAGTATTCTAATTTTAGTATAATTTTATAAACACTTTTTTTAGTGGGGGTGCTTAATTCTATTTAAGAAAACTGTAAAAACTGTATATAATGAAAGCTATGTGTTCAGTTGTTATATTTGTGTTAAAATGTATTAATAAAAACAACAAATGTGCAATACCTTTGAACTTCAAGTGAGAGGGTGCTATTGCACCCCTCTACTTCCTGTGCCATTACTAAATATGCTGTTGTTTTGCTGAATCAAGGCATACTTGTATATTCGTTTTTTTTTCACAGTGTTGTATGTTCACATGTTTTGCTTCTAATTTATTGTAGTACACACTAACTCATAACCTCTCAAATCAAAATGTTGATATTTCAAGTTTACTGTGACAATTTGTAGCATCAAATCCTGCAAAACTCAGTCCAAAGAATATATGTATTGTTTAATATCACATTTAAATTTGGACATGTTTTGTAATCTTTGAAAAGTACAAGAAAAAAAAACATTGAATGTAATTATTTTTATTGCTAAAACTAACTTTTCTCTTTACTTGCAGTTTAAGTGGCAGTGTTGGTATGATTCTTAAAGAGACTTTACAAAAAGCTGAAGTCAACCAACCAGTTGCCTATGGTAGGTACATAATGTTGTTTTTTCATCTGTTTATTATAACAATTAATCACCAGTTAAAGTATTTTGCTGTGTCAGCTTTATCAAAGATTCATTTCATTATGCTGCTTATTAAAAGATTACTTTCCTCTGGTGATTAATCTATCTTTCATTCTATGTTAATAGATTTCATAAATTGCTAGGAAACATATGTGGAATTGTTTTGTTTCTATTTTTCATTATATAATTGTGTTGTTGTCACGTTTAGTAGCTTATACAAGTACCTAAATTTAATTAGTTAAATTTTTACTTTTATAACTATATATTAATTACTGATTAGTTTTTATTGTATGTTTTGATAGCTAATTTGTTGTCATCTTCAAGGAAGTCCTAAGAAGGACTATTTCTGTGTTGGTAGTGGACAGGATACGATCCTGAGTCTTCTTGATGTATGTTAAGTGTGTTATCTACTCAACTAGGAGGTTTCCATATTAGAACTTGAATTAATTAACTGTTTTAATGATTTCAACTGGGGTATCCAGGTTTTATGGACTTTTGTGCTAGATTGACTGTGTTACCAGTTAAGTGGGTGAGAAAAAGAAAGAGGAAAGTAGTCTTTTACATTCATTTAACTGGAAATAATCAGAAGTTATATTTATTATTTTTCCACTGGTTTATAAAGTAAAACATAACAACGTAACCATATTTTAATGGTAGAAAATAGAGAACATATTATTATTCATCAAGTAATCAGTTTGGTTTACATGATTTGTTAAAAACAATTATTTATTTGTAATCTGAAAGAATATATATATATATATATATAGAACTTTAAAACTAATTTTAAGTATTTTTAAAATATGAAAAAAGTTATATATATCAAAAAATAAAAAAAAAATAAAGCCACATGTGCTTTTTTTTTTCTAGCAATTATACTTGAGTGTATTGTAACTATCAATGCAATTGAGGCACCTCCAGAGATGGTTGAGCTTGCTTTGAAATGTGTATCAAAGTTCCTAAAATCAAGCAGTACTGATCTCAAGTATTTAGGTAAATACTATAAAGATATGTGTATGTGAGTGTAATTAAAGATTTTTAAAAAACATTTTTGTGACAGAATGGCTTATTGAGGAAGTGAAAACTGTTGCATACCTGCATTAATGTTACCTGGACTGAGTCATTAACTCTTTCAGAATGGGCTCGGTCCCTGGGACTGACCTTGTAACCATTTTGTGCTTGCTATAGTTTTCATGTTATAACTTTTAAATTAGCAAGCAAATGTTAACGAAATTTGGTACATTATCAGTAAACACTACAATGCTTTCATGTACAAAATATCAAATTTTTTTTATTAAGTCTTAAGATTTGTAAAGCGTTTTTTTTTTACTCGTGCCTTTTTTTTTTCTTTTTGCATGTTGCCTATCTAACATGCAAAGTAATTTTCATTTTAAGATTAAAAATACTTTTATGCACCAGAAAATTTTCAAATTTCCCATGCAAAATCTTTATAATCCCAGATAGTTATCAAGTATTTTAAGAAAAAACTTAATATATATATTATCTGTTATTATCAGTAATGAATCTCTGTATGGGTTTGGTAGATTTGACTGATCCTGTAACCACCATAAAAAAATTAGGAAATAAATATAAATTTTGCCTCTTTTATTCCAGAATCAACACAAATTATAACACAAACATAAATGTTTAGACTAAATAGCTTAAATCTCGTAACACTAAACATTTATATATATTTATTATTTTTATTATATTGACCTTTCAGCCATGCCTGGCTAACAATACAGAAGTTATAATGATGCGGCACACATGCACTCATGTTACCATATCCAATAACACAAAACTGACCTTT